GTAGAGGATGGAGCAAAGACCGAAATATCGATTTTTAGGCCCCTACGCGGCGGTTCGTTCGATGCTCGTATCTGCCCCGTTTCCCCCGTACGTCCTGTCCGCGCCAAGCGCCTTTCAAAACACCGACGACGCGCGCGAGCTACACCGCGCTCGTTCACGCAGCCTCGACGTTGCCGTCAGTCGTCGTCCTCTCCTCCTTGTTATCCTCCTTGTAATTCGGATTTATCGTCGTGTAAAATTGCGCGATTCCAATTGGACTGGAGTTACAAGTGGATCATTACCGGTGCGCCGATGTTCTCAGGTAAATCGCGGCAGCGGCAAAGATGACGTCTAACCGGAGAGAGAAAGAGAGAGAGAGAGAGTGAGAGAAAGGGTGGGAGGGAGGCAGGGAAGGCGGGAGAGAGTGAGGGTGCTCGACGCGACGTGCATTCTCTTCCCCGTGGATGATTTACGAGCCATACGAACGCTCGTCAACGCGGTCATAATTAACGCGCGGTGTCACCTGCAAGTGTTCTCGCGGTGTGATTGAATATTCGAGGTAAAAAAAGGTATACGCGCGCAAGATCGGCAGCAATCGGCGGGAATTTAAGGAAGGCAGGGGTATTATTGAATAAACACACGCGAGTAAATTTGCGGCAAGAAACAATGGAAGTCTAGGTGGGAATACGATTAATATAGCTGAGAATTGCGAGCAAACGGCGGGAGTGATACTTTGACGCGGGCAAGTTGTCATTTATTGGCCTGCATTGATCTGTATACGGGCGGCGACAGCGGACGAGCGGATTGGATTAAATGTGACCAAGGAAACATTTGACACCTCGCGTGTGCAGGTGATCGTTTGTAACGATCCCGCGTCAAGCTCGAGAATAATATCGTACGTAAATACTTGATCGATATACGACGACAAATCGCTTTGGGGACTTTCGATCGTCTTATAATTCTTTTCGGATCGGAGCAACGCGGATGATTGATACGATTGCACTTGCACAATAATAAAGGATCAAGTGGAATGAATGAAGATTCAAGAAGAATTATTCGCTGGCTCGCGAGATCGTGACTTCGTGGCGAGAGGGCGACGCGACGTGTAGCTTCTTCCGAGTCTTTCCCGGCCGCCTTTGCAGATGACTGTTCGCAATCGCTAATCGCTAATCGCTAGATCGATAGCGATACGGATAAAAATGCGCAAACGGCATTGACGAAGAGAAATTCGGTGCTGTGTTCGGCGGATATCCCGCCGAACTATACAATTTGATCGGTTTATTATTATATACATCGCTTTATCGACGAGATTACGCTACGCAATGCGGACTCGTTGTAAATTCTACGAACGTAATTGTTTCTTTTCTTAAATTAAGTGCATCGCGATCACACGTAGAATACACAAAATGTAATTGAGATAAAATTAAATAGTGGATTTTAGTGCGCAAAGTGCGACGCGGACAATATTATATCTTTGAATTTTAAATTATTTAATAATAGCCTTATGATAGCTTGATAATCGTTTTTGTTCGATACAGAAAAGATGGCCATCGCCGCCTCGGAGAATTATCAGCTCAAATGGCACAGCTACGGAGCGCATCTACACAGCTCCGTCGCGACTCTGCTCCACTCAGAATCCTTCGCGGACGTTTTACTGGCCACGTCCTGCGGGCGGCACGTGGCGGCCCATCGATTCGTCCTCGCGGCCTGCTCATCTTACCTCAGTCACATTTTTCAAACGTGCCATTTCGGCGCCAACACCAACGCTCCGATAATCGTGGTCGGTAATCAAAAATCTTTCTCACGTGTACAAACTTATTAGCGTTAGCTAACTTATTAGCTAATAAGTTTTCTTCTCGCGTAATTCTTCTTTTATCAAATAGATTCGGAACAACGTATAGATGTTGAATAACGGAATGACGTACGTTATTTCATGCCGTAGGTGTTGCCTACGGAGATAGGATATCGCACGTTAAAAATCCTGATACAGTACATGTACAGTGGCGAAGCCACTGTAACCAACGATCAGCTGGAAGGAGTCCTCAAGGCCGGCGACATACTACGCGTACGTGGACTGTGGAGATCAAATACCGGCAGCAGCAAAAAGGAGAACATACAATCGAATAATCAGAAAATCGAACGCGACAAGCGGGAAACGTCGCAGTTGACCGGACAAATACAAAAGATCAAACTGGTACAACCGACCGCGGAGAAGGTAATCGAGAATGTGCAGCAGGCAGCCACGACTTGCCAAAATAATATACAGCCCGCAAAGTCGGTTGAGAGGAAGAGCACAGAGAAAATCGAGGATAAGACCAATGAATCTGAGACCAAGAAAGTCTCGGAGGAGAAGAATAACGAGCAGAGCAAGAACAAGGAAAATCTCGAGACAAACGGCAAAAAGAAGAAAGCCGTTAACAGCGACGTCGAGTCGAATAAGTCCAAGAGCGAAGGTGGTGAAAACGTGAGCTAGTTTTTTTAGGTTTAGCAATAATGCAATAAAGAGAAGCACTCGTTTGCTAACGAAAAGCCTAATATTCTTTTCATTTTTTTAGACTGAACTAAACTTGGAGTTGTTGGTAAAGGACGAGCCGATCGATTGGGAAGAAACGATCGATCCATCGGAATCACTCACGATAGACCATGAAATCGATATCAAACCAGTGCGTAAAGTTAAAGCATCATAGGCAATCGATTGTTTTTTTTTAATATAATAAAATTTAAGATAATAACGTTTGCTCTATTGTCACAGGAGATCGTACATAGCGCGGATGAGGATGGAGATATGGAGGAGGAAGAGTATACCCCACTGACATGCGATATGTGCAGTCAAACGTTTAATAGACCGTCGGATTGGGTGAGACATATAGAATTCACGCACGCTGACATGACTGAAAATCGGAGAAAGAAACGAAAGGTACTGTGTCACGAATTCTTTACGACGTATACGTACAGGAAAGATTGTGAAATGAAGAAAACGCGGCGGTTTCAGGACGATATAAATGACGACAGCAAGGACTTTCCCCCTCTGAAGTGTGATCTATGTGGCAATATGTATTCTACGCCGCAAGAGTGGGTGCGTCACATACAGACGGAACATACAGAGGAGCAGTTGGCCTTGATGAACAATTCGGCGCCCCCTAAGCCGAAAAGGGTTCACAATCACCAAAAGTTATGCAACATATGTCAAAAAGAATTCCCAAGTCACGCTTCGATGGTCATCCATCAAAGAACGCATACGGGCGAAAAGCCTTTTCTTTGCTCTTACTGTAAAAAAGGCTTCAACGTAAAGAGCAACTTGCTGAGGCATTTAAGGACACTGCATGACAAATACGTACATCCTAGCTTATACGGAAGTAATGGTAGCACGAACGCTTAAAGACCCTTCACATTTCTTTCCGACTATATATATATGTATGTGTGTGTGCGTGTGTGCGTATATACAATATATGTATATGTATGTGTATATATATATATATATATATATATATAGTGTGTATGTATATACACACGTATGTGTATGTATTGTCTGCATGGCGTCTCAGTGTGGAGAGACCATACAGTATCTTATGTATATTCAATATTATGACTACGTAGACTGAACGTGTATCTATACGTATAAAATGGATGCCAAATCGGAGCACGACATGACGACAAACGAATCAAGATCTGTGTGAATCTCCACCGAAAGAAAACATAACTGAGCGCATTTTAAAAATTGCATATTGGAGAGAAATCTATACAAACTATTTTTTCTAAAGAGTAGTTGTGTCGCATTCTTTATATATAATCTTCTTTTTAATATAGAAAATAATAGAACTCCTCTCTCGTTAAACAACTTTCGATTGAGTTGAAACAAGAAAGCAATATCAGGGTCTTAATACCAAAGAGGCTGATTAATATTGCCAAAATGTGTCCATTTGATATTTTAAACCTCCTTTTTTTCTCCTTTTAATGTAGTGCACACATATATATATATATATGTATGTATGTATGTATATATATATATATATAAAGGGTTAAAAGATTTTTGTTCAAGAGCAAAGAGAGGACAAATGATGAATGATTTTACTATTTATAGATATCTCTGTCGAGGAGTGCTTGCGTGTAAAATATAATTCTACAGTATAAATCAATATATTTAATGATTACTTATCAACTTAATTACTTAGAGTAATTATAGGATAAATCCAAATTGTGTAAGATTTAACTGTATACTATTTCTAGGCTATTCCATCCATGATAGCCCTCTTATTCCTTCAGCTCGTAAGTTAATTATGTATTTTTATATTAAAGTAGCGTATACACACAAATATATAAGAAATAAGATACTTGCATTAAGCAAAATTTGAAATTTCGGTCTAGGCTAGGATATAAGAATAATATATAACATTCAAAATTTATCAAATTTTTTGAAAATATATTGAGTTCTTCTTACATATAAAAAAAAAGAACAATGCGATATTATCAAAATACTGTCACAGTTTCTGAAACATTAATAATGTGAATATTGATTAAGAGAATGACACCATTTTGCTATACTAATCATTGTGTCACTCTTACTATAAATTTTAGTGTCAATTCTGCATTGCGCTAGCACTGTGACGAGCCAAATAACTTTTAAATGTAAAATTAAAATATATTATCTTAAAAGTGTTTTTAACTTCGCCTTACTTGTACCTCAATGTTAAATAACAGAAAACGAAATATTTAATTTTTTGGATCAGTAACATGTATGGTATCATCTCCTTGTAATTATGTCAAGCCAATTAATAATTTATTTTCTATTGAAATAAATATGACAATGTCGAATGTTCATAGGACAAAATTTTTCAAAATAATCAGTAACGTAATACAGTGCCGTTCAATGTATATGAATTCTATTTCCGTCGTATTTTTAGTTTTCTTCCTCATCGTCGATTTTGGGTGCTAGGTAATACCTGATGTGTCCAATATCGCCAATTTTATATTCACATACTAGAGGCACGTCGTCAGACATGGATAATTGAACTTGGTTGCAAAGAGGACCAGCTTTAACAAAACAATTCAAATAACGACAAGAAAACGTTAATTTTACTGGTTCCTGCATATTGACTATTACTGCTTCCTCTTCCTTATCAGCGTCTGCAGTCTGCGCTAATTTGATGTTAGCTGCAAAAGAAATAAAAGGAACTTGTAAGTCACTTATTCAACTGCATGTAAAGGATGTCTCTGTGCATTAATATTTCCGTCTTATTTTATAACAAATATTCTGTATAACATTATTTATAAACATCGTAGTGTTTTCAACTCCTACTTTAATTAAATCCATATATAAATACATCTACAAAACTTGGTCTATTATTATAATTTCATTTAGTGTTCAAATATATCCCCATGAGTACATCTTGTATGGAAGTAAAAACAAACAAGGAAAAATAAAATATGACTTATCTAACAAGCTTAGAAAAATTTTCAATATACTTTCAGTTAATGAAAGGGCTGAAACTCTGCAATTAGTTTCAATCTATTGTTGGACTTAGAAAATCGCAGCATTGAAAAAAATGTCAAATTTCCTTTATATTTTAACAACGTAAATAGAGAAAAACAAATTACAAGCTATATATTGGTATAGGAATGTAATCAATTAGGCATTAATTAGAGATCAGAATAATTATGGAAGTAGTGGGATAGCATACTAATTACAAATGTTAGGCATGAGAACGAAGGTTTCCAAGTTTCAATACGGTTGGTATTGAAACTTAAAATTGCGATATTAAGGCTTAAAATTGTTCTCCTGATTAGATGATATTTATCTTGTGTGCGTATATGTATACATTGATGTTTCATTGATATTTACCTGAGCCATAATCGCCAGACGCGCTGAATTTTATACCTTCTTTGGAACACGCGAAAGTTATAGATTCCCCAAATTGGCTCAAATCCCTACATATACGAGTAAATTCTGCAGTGGGCATTTTTACAACACACGAGTATGAAGTCTCCTGTAAAGCAATTATTTGATGAATGATAACTGATACTGTGTAGGCTTTCTACAATAAGTCATTATCTAAGCTTTAGATCATAAGCCATAAGAAATTGACCAATCATAGTCAAGTGTTTTTTTCATATTTAACTATGATTAATCAATTTCTTATAGCTTAAGGCTGATATTACATTTATTGTATGATAAAAAATTTTTTAAACATGTTAAATAACTAAAGGACAGAAAGATTTGAGAAAATCTTTCTATCTTGTAGCTAATCAACAGGTTTGAAAAGCTTGTTATGACAAAAAAACGGATAAATGTAATATTAATCTGACTTAAAGCTTAGATCAGAGCTGTTCAAAGTTGGTATATTTTTGGCTTGAAATTGAAACATGCCAGTATTCACACTTGTTACCATTCCTATTCTTTATTTCATTGCTGTTTCGTTGTAGTACGTGATGCTTGATTTCATGGACGACACTAGACTGAAATCGCTAGTTATTGACCTGTGTCTTTCACTATGTTTAAAAGTATTCTCTAATATTAATCTAATATTAATCTAACTAAGATACTATTATTCATAATATATTTAACTATAAAAATATAAATAACAGAATACTTCTAAACTTAGTGAAGGACACAAGTCAAAAATTTTTAACAATGTCAAACTAATGTCGTCCCTGAGACTGAACGTCGCATGCTACGACAAAACAACAATGAAGTAAGAAATAGGAACGATAATAGATATGAATACCAGCACATTTCGATTTCAAGCTAAAAAACACTAACCTTGGACAGCACTGGCTTAGGTAATGACTTATTGTACAAAGCTCATTAATATCTACTCTATTAATTTAACATAAGTAAACCTCACAGGTATACCCAAATGTTCTTGATCCATATTAATCAGTTTCATTTCATATTCGGCTAGCTTCTCCTTGTTGGGCGATTCGAATATAAAAACGACCGACTCAGGATTGTCCCATGCTCTGAGGGTTACTGTGTCTTCTGCACCGGCGCATCGTAATATCTTTGACATACTGGAAACAGGTTTCGTGATTGATTATTGTTATATACAAAGTACATTAATTATCATAACAATTTTCTGATTCTAGACCTGTCCCTTTTGTATACATTTCTCAAAAATTGCACATGCATTTATTTCACTTCATATAGCAAAAGACATAAAGTAAAAGTAGCCAAAAGAAACACAAATACTATCTCTTTGTTAAAAATACAGTTTGGCGCATAACCTTTAAATTATTATGTCCGTGCTCACCAACTAATGCTCATCCCCATTGATAAATTTCGATCGCAACGATACTTGTCGAAGCCATCGCTCCTGAGATTCAACGAGACGAGGGAAACGTGTGCATTGTCCATCGCCTGGACCTGAATCCCCGAGTCAGAGCATTCGAAAGTCGCCTCGGTTAGGAGATCCTTTACCGCATCCAATACCTTCTTCAGGATCGCGCTTTGTACCAAACGTGCTTCGAACATTGTGTTGATTCTTTTATGTTAACACTGATAAATTCAGCGTCCTCCAATGATTCCCTGGTAAAAAATGCAGCTGCGTCAAAAATAGTTCAAAGAAACAACTCGTTTAACTCGTTGTGGTTTCTTTGGAAGTTCGGACTGTTTGGAGGACGGTTACCCGCGCTTTTATCAGGCGTTCGTTTTAAGCGGAAATAGATGGCATTCGTAAGTTATAGCTCCTGCCAGAGAGATACCTAAGAAAGTCATGTCGATTTTTATCGTCGAAATCGCTCGTACATTACCGCCAGTACATCCATTTTCAATTTGAGAACTATGTGATTACATACATTTTCATCGATAAAATTATATCGTCGAAAGTAGATGTGGTTCGTTTCTGTACTAAATCCAGGAAGTTGATTTTGTATCTTCAAACAAGGCAAAAATTACAAAAGTGAACAAATTTATTAGATGTTGACCAATTAAATTATTAGTATTCTAGTAAATTCGCTCACTTTTATATTGTAATTTTCATCTCGTTTCAAGATACAGAATCGCTAGGACAGAAGTACCGACTATCTACAATATATTGGGTCATCTAAAAAGTATCCGCGGGACTTTGTCACTAGATATATGATTATCAACACACATCTAGTGACAAAAAACCGCGGATACTTTTTAGATGATCCAATATATAGGAGCCAATAGAATTATGCTAGTGCAACAATTTCCGCCGTTTGGCGGAAGTTGGCGCGATAGCCAATCAACGTCTCGCTCGAAAGTAATAGATATATTAGGTCATCTAAAAAGTATCCGCGGTTTTTTGTCACTAGATGTGTATTGATGGTCATATATCTAGTGACGAAGTATCCGCGGTTTTTTGTCACTAAATGTGTGTTGATGGTCATATATCTAGTGACAAAGTACCGCGGATACTTTTTAGATGACCCAATATAATTTCCACCGCGCGACAAAAGTTCAACTCAATCCAATTTTTACCGCGCGGCGGAAGTAATATTACATCATTTCTAGAAGTTTTGTATGGTAAGGCCGACTTAAGAACATAGAATTTGCGGAAGTTATAAGACTGGATTCACATCTTGACGGAAAAACAGAAAGCAAAAAAACGGAAGCCAATCAGAACTCGCGGAAAGACAGAAGCAAACAAGAGAAATGTATCGCCTACTACTACTGCGAGTTCCGATTGGCTTCCACTTTTCCGCTTTCCGCTTTTCCGTTAAGATGTGAACCCGGTCTAAGAGTTAGGACACCGAGTGATATTTTTTGATTGGTTCCGCTTAAAGACCCTAGAAATAAAAGTCCAATCAAAGATGTCTCCAATCTCATTGGCCAAAAAATGATATGACGTTGCTGTTAAAACTTCCTTCCAAGCGCAGCATAATATACAATAATAACTTAAATATGACGAAAAATAAAGGAAAACTTTCAATTTACATATTAATAATTAAATTATTTTATTACGACATATAAAAGCGTGTTTGAATTCCCATTCCAAGTGTCATATCATCCTTGTTTAACTTTTGGTAAATAACAAGGATGCAGTGATACATAGATGGCACTCTGGTTGGAATCTGAACATAACGATGATTGGAATAGGGATTCATATAGTCTGTAATTTGTTTTCTGTTCCTGCATTAAACTTAACTAAACTGCACTTGACTAAACTGCACTAGAACTCTTTTTCTTGGTTTTAACAAATATCAAATTATCAAACATATACCTTTTTTCTTTTCCATTTTAAGTTTATAGCCGATTTATGGATTCAGTGATTCAGTCATGGTTATTTTGAATGATTCCGATAGCGAAGATGAGTTACCGCCGGGATGGGAAGAGAGAACAACGTTAGATGGAAACGTTTATTACGTGAAGTAATCAATATGAAGTTTGCATATCTCATGAAAAGATTGAATAGATGAGTGTATTTTCATGAAGTACCATGTTGCAGTCACTACACGAAGGGTACGCAGTGGACGCATCCTAGAACTGGCCGTAAAAAGATCGTCAACGGAGGTTACGTTTAATTTTTTCATTTCACTTTTATTATAGGCTACGTACAATTAAAGAAATAAGGAATAGAGAACAGAGAATAAGAATTTCAACTTATCAAAAACTATGTATTTCGTAGTATGTGCATAGGAAGTTTTTCAGCAAGAGACAGATGACACAGTGTAACACAGTAAATCGTTATATATATATTCTTGTTTGTTAATGTTAAGCGAAGGGAGCTTTCCAGCAAGAGACACAAATTAACACAAGAGTCATCCTGTCCTTGTTTGATAATTAGAAACAGAATGATTCTTGAGTCGATTTATGCCTCTGCTGGAAAGCTCCCAAAGATGCCATGATCATTGAGTCACATTGTGTCACTTGCTGAAAAGCACCGATAGTTTTTTTTATAAAGTTGATGATACATAACAAAAGTTGCTTTCCATTTGCACACAAGTGAAACTGAGTCTGAAAGCCGAGTATTTTATACTCAGATTAATGACGTCATTATTTGTTTATTTTGATAAAAAGTTATTATATAACAACACAGATTTGAATCTCACTTTTGAAATGAGTTTACGAGATTCACTAAAGCATATGGTTTTGATCTTGTACAAATTATAGGCAAAAAATCACTTGTCTCTTAAATCTTACTTGTCAGAATGCAAAAAGAACGCACATTCAACTGAGTTATGACATCACAAGTGAGAATTATCTAAGAATCGGTGTAAATGGAAGGAACAATTAAAAACAGCAAAAATAAGGCAATAAGACATAAGCAACAAGGAAATCACAACATTGAATTTACTACTGGCCTTATGATCTCTACTATGATTGGCCAATTTGCTTACTGCTTATGTTTTACTGCTTTATATTTTTGTATGTGCTATGGGCTTAAGTTGAAATTTTTATTGTCAGTTTCCTGTTCTTTTGATTATGCTCAGCCCCTTACATTAAAAAACTTTATCAATATATTAATTTATTGATTACTTTATATTAGACAAAATTGATATTAAATAAATAAAGAGAACTTGTTAAATTATTAGAGTATTAAAAGTTAATTGTTATAGAATTAAAAGTAAAAATTAAATTTAAAAAATTAAATAGATTTACCTTCTGGATGGGAGAGATGTATATCAGATGATGGTAAAGTTTTGTATATCGATCATACAAATCGTACAACAACTTATACTGATCCACGATTAGCATTTGCTACTGAATACAGAGAGATGTCTCAGATAATACGACAAAGATTCGATGGAAGTAGTACTGCCTTGGCAGTATTACATGGCCGAGATCTACGTAACAAAGTCGCTCTTATTACAGGAGCTAATACAGGCATTGGTAAGTGAGAATAATTATAGTTATAACATTATTGTACAATTTTACTAATTAGACAAAACTTTCTATAGGATTTGAAACAGCTAGATCATTAGCCTTGCATGGTTGTAATGTAATATTAGCTTGTAGAGATATGGAAAAGGCTAATGAAGCTATAAAACACATTCAGCAAGAGAAAGATACTGCAAATTGTGTAGCTTTACAAATGGATTTATCATCATTGAGCAGTGTACGTGAAGCTGCTGAACAATTTAAGCAGAAATTTAAGTAAATTTTCTAGTAGTTATAACAGTAGTTATAATTATTTTGATATATATTACTGTTATTTTTGTTATATAAAATTTTTTAATTTTTCAGATGTCTGGACATTCTTATATTAAATGCAGGCGTGTTTGGACTACCTTATCAACTTACAAAAGATGGTTATGAGACAACGTTTCAAGTTAATCACTTGTCACAATTTTATTTGACGCTTCTATTGAAACAGACTATACAGAGCACTAATAATCCTAGAATCATAGTAGTTTCCAGTGAATCACATAGGTAATTTCTTGATACATTCTCTTGTCATAATGTTATTTATATAGAGAATTTTTGTAACCAGATGTATTTGATATAGATTTTCATCAATACGAACTGTAGAAGATCTTCACCAGTCAACTTTGTCTGTACCAGCATACAAGTATTGGGCGATGGCAGCATACAATGAATCAAAGCTCTGTAATATTTTATTCGTGCAGGAACTGGCACGTCAATGGCTCTTCGTAGGCATATTTGCTTGTCATCCCGGTAACCTAGTGTTTACATCCTTATCGCGTCATTGGTGGCTGTACCGATTATTATACGCCTTAGCACGACCATTTACAAAATCATTGGTATGGTATAAATCTCTTAATTTATTTGAAGCACTATAGATTTAAATTTTGAAGAGTATATGTACTCTTTAAAATAGTACAAAGAGGATTGACCATTTAGTTTTATCTTCTTCTCAATATTTAGTACATATAGATGAATTTATATGATAAAATCTTATTCTGTTGCATTTTCTAATACTTCATTATTTTGTTATATTATTGTGCACTTTTGATTTATATTCATATTATGAAGAATAGGTAAAATAATGATCGAATTATATAAAACATATTCCAGCAACAAGCAGCGAGCACTATTATATTCTGCGCTACTGCTCCTGAATTAGAGGGTGTAACAGGTAGCTATTTTAACAACTGTTGCCATTGCCAACCGTCGAATGCTGCACTAGATTCTGCATTAGCTGCACAATTGTGGACTCTCAGCCAAGATATGATAACAGATGTATTAAAGAGAAATAATTAAATATAAGAATTATTATTATCTTAAGTTGTCATTTAAGATGACACAATCCTTATGACACCACTCACATCGATCTGTTCCTAGTAATTTTTCACTGCTTCATCAATGAGATTATATTGGGAGTACAAATAAGTTTCCGCCGTTTGACAAAAAACGGCGCTACTAATAAGCTATGGTTAAAATTGTCTAATGTAAAACATATCTTAAGATTGGAGATCTGTCAACAACATAACCTTGAAATACTAGCGATTTTGTATCAGCATCATATATTTTTTTTTGTGCGAAAATACCGAGTTTTGAGCCGAATAAGCGTCATTTGCGGGAACTTTTGATTTACTTCTTTAATTTGAAGAAATTGCTGCTGAGGTTCATCGATTGCTTGTAGAAGCATATGGTGAGGTTACCTTAAGTGAGAGAAGTTGTGAGTGGTTTCAAAAGTTTAAGAACGGTGAATTTGACGTCGAAGACAAAGAACGTAGCGGAAGGCCGAAAGTGTACGAAGACGCGGAATTGGAAGCATTATTGGATGAAGATTCGTGCCAAACGCAAAAAGAACTTGCACTTCATTAGGAGCGACTTAACAAGCAATTTCACATCGTTTGAAATCATTGGGAATGATTCAAAAGCAAGGGAATTGGGTTCCATATGAAGCCGAGAAACGTTGAACGCCGATTTTCCATATGTGAAATGCTGCTTGTCAGGCATAAACGAAAGGGTTTTTTACATCGTATAGTCACTGTAATGAAAAATGGATCCACTACGATAACTCAAAGAAGAAGAAATCATGGGGATCACCTGGCCATGCTTCAACATCGACAGCCAAGCCGAATATTCATGGAAAAAAATTCATGTTGTGTATTTGGTGGGATCAGTTTGGTGTCGTGTATTATGAGTTGCTCAAACCGAACGAAACCGTTACTGGGGCTCTCTACCGAACACAATTGATAAGATTGAGCCAAGCACTCAAGAAAAAACGCGTCCACTACTCCAGGCATGACAAAATTATTCTCCTACATGATAACATGCTCGATCACATGTTGCGGCGCCAGTCAAAACCTACATAGAACACTCAATTGGGAAGTTCTACTCCATAGGTTTCCACCATATTCAGCAGACATTGCCCCTTCCATCTATTTCGATCGATGACGCATGATCTGTCTGAGCAGCACTTCACATCATATGAAGATATCAAAAATTGGATCGATAATTGGATAGCCTTAAAAGATGAAGCATTCTTCCAATGCGATATCTGTATGCTATCAGAAAGATGGGAAAAAGTAGCTAGCGATGGACAATATTTGGAATAAAACATTATGTACCATTCTTTATAAATACCGTTCTCAATAAATGCTTAATTTTGATAAAAAACGGCGGGAGTACTTATTTGTACTCCCAATATTATTTTAAATTCCGCCATGATCTTTACTATTGCTTAGTCCAATATGGCGCTCTAGAACTGTCACGTCGTGATAACATTCGCTTCATGTAAGAGTTGTGGTTATGAATTAATAGTCTACAGACCAGTAGTTTGTACATATAAAAAAAACGTGGACTTCTTAGAGAATTGGACTTACATGTCTAATTAAAATGTTATATGAAAATCTTTACTTTTCTCTCTCACTCTCTCACTCTCACTCTCACTCTCACTCTCATGAATTAAACAATATTTTTTTTCATGATATCCCATTCAATTTTCTATTACATTTAATTTATGGAGAATGTAATTTTAATTACATTTAATTTATGTAGTTCATTGTTAGCATATTTAGGATCTCGTAAAAAAGTCTCTTTCATCACGTAATAATCTTAGAGGTTGTCTAAGTCACATCTTTCTCCTAATGAATAACGTTTAACCAGCCAATCGACTGGTCCAGTCAATTAATCAAGTTGTGATTTGTCATGTGGAAGTAAACATCCAGGCACTAAAAACTACAGTATGTTTTTTTCCAATATATAGGATATTCTAAATGGAATTATATTTTTTTCTAAAAACAGGAAGTTAAACTTGATATTACTTTTAATTATAAATTAGTATAATAATTTTCAAATTAAAAATACTGAGAATTTGCAATATCGATGATCTACTTTGCAAAATTAGATTGTTAAATCTCAGAAGCAAAATTTGAACGAGAAATATTTAATATTTTATGTAAGAAATATTTTAATATGCTTATGTTATGTGTACGAGAAATTCAAGTTTCACACAAAAACGAACATATAAAAACGTTTAAACAGATACGTACACATACTTTTGCAGCTCTATACATAAATTACATTATAATAGTTTATCATCTTTAAATTTTTATTCTATTACTGACTACTATGTGCGTAACTATTTTGCTAGATAAGTCCATGAATATCAATTAATGTTAGATTAATTGATTATTGAAAATTGAAAGAATAAAGTTTGCGTAAAACGTACAATTATTTGTCAAAATACATGATTATTTTTAAATGGGTATTTGAAATTTATTTATTTAAAAATATATATACAGTAAATCAAAGAAAAAGTAGGAGCAAGACAAATGAGATTGTTAATGTTTATCCTGATTGCGTCAATAAGCACTTCTACTTGCAGGAAGTAATCGCAGTATGTTGCACAGCCGAATCCAATACTTGCTGGATTCAAATACGCGACTCTCATATCCGTCGGGCTTTCCTAAACATCCGTTCAAATACGAGGATGCAATCGAACTGTGCACGATTCGAAGCACAGCAAATTAAAGTTGTGAACTAGATGCATTATGTTTTTTAAATTTACGAACGTAATATTGAATCGAGTCGGTGTAAGGAACGGGAAAGGATTGAGAAGGATTAAACATGCCGAGATTAGTACGTCATCCTTTTTCTTTTTCGTCCTGAATATTGTCGAGAATTATCCGTTAAAAGAAAGAAAGTACGCCTTGAAATGAGAAATAAACAAAGAGAAATAGAAGAATATTTAAAAAATCTGAATTATTCACAATTCTCAAAGTAACAATTTTAGATAAGATTGATAAGATTTCTTTATTTACCCGCAAGAACGAAAAAGCATCAATTGTTCAATAAAAATATTCGTATACAACGTAAAACGGAAAGAAAATGATTTTTACGAAGTATATGTTATCTATCAGTAGTTTGAATTATGTAATATTATCGGTAAAACTTTAGAAAATTGGCGACCTCACACACACTAATTTCAATGACCTTGACATATATCGTCCTGAATGACCCACAAGTTTTAATTGTCGCTCATCCTTCGTTAAAAAGATATTAACAAATAAAGTTGACAATATAAACGACTCTGCTCCGATGAAATAAATTCTCTGCTTTAACCCTATAACTATGCACACTGTGTCCCAATTTACTAAATCGAAATTTTTTTTCGTGTTTTTGAACTGTTTCTGAACTTAATTCTATCTATTTTTACATATTATGGATTTATTCCTTAATCAATTCTCCATTAATTGAAAAAAAATTAATTGAAATATGTCCATTTTTATGGAAATTAACAAATATGGATGGGGTTCTAGTATATAGGGTATCTCAAGTGTATATATCAATACGAAGTAATGCAGATTCAGGACAAAACTTTTTTAAGCATATAAAAAAATCCTTAATAGTATGTCTATTGTTTATTGTATAATAACACTATCCGACACGGATTTTAGATCACAAATGGAACCAAGTAATTCTAATAGATTTTTTGTTACTGAAAATGAAATTGCTTCACCACGTCATATTTTTGAGATATATATATTAGCTCAAAAGAACACAAAAATGTTATTTTTGGTACTTTTAATATCAATTTTCTCAACAACTTGACGTAATTTTACAATTTTATTCGTTTTTTCAGCAACCAAAAATCTTTAAAAATCAGTTGGTCCCGTTCGTTTAGAAAAATAATTTAAATTTGTCGAACAATATATAATTAACAAAATTTCTTACGATAATCTAAAATATACTGTACCAGCAGCTTTTTGTACACATAAAAAAAATGTTTTACTGCGGATTTCAAAATATTTGAAACTCTATTTCCGATTATACATTATCTTTTGTTGATGCATCTCTTTATTTAAATTCTGCTTAAATAATAGGTCAAAGAAAAATTGAAATAAATTCGAGATGTATTGTACATATATAATAGTTATTTTGAAATAAAATATACTATATCAATATATCCTATAACAATATAAATCGTAGTAATTTTTAATTTTAAATATTAATTATTTATTATAATTACATTAATTTCTTTTATAGATCATTTTTTCTTTACATAATATTCATATATAACATCTAGTTTTATGTTTACACTTAACAACATTTAACGCAATATACATTTTTTGTTATTTTGTGCTCTCTTTCTCTCTCTCTCTCTCTCTCTCTCTCTCTCTCTCTCACACTCGTTTTTATCATAATCGCTTTGCTTCAATTTTTTATAAAACAGAAGCGATCTCGTTTCATATACATGTATGTGTATATTTTAAGATAAATTAGACAGGGTTGGCAAAAGACAATGTTTTTTTTATTTAGGACAAAACATTATGTTGCTTTTAAACATGCTTTTTCATGCTTTATATATGCTTTAAATAATGTTATTAAAAAACGTTTAAAACACATAATTTTTACCAACTCCGGAATTACATATTGAATTAGGGACGTGTAATAATTTTTCTTAAAACAAACTACTCTATTTGAATCGCGTATGGCTATTCGACGATCCTGTGTGTGTGTGTGTGTGTGTGTGTGTGTGTATATACAGGGTGCATTTTAATTTTCGCACCGAAATATCTTATAAAGTACCTATAAAATACGGGAAAATTCTTATTTTAGACAAGAGTTGTATGATTTCGAGGGGCACATAAGATGGTATCATTGGTTTGATCTTGGATGGTTGTTAAGATCAGAATATTTTACATTTTTTAAAGAAACCTCCCACTTTTTCATTACACATTCTCGTAGCTTACCTCGAGAGCTTTTCACTATAATGAAGTATTTTTTTATTAAATACTTTTCGAATTGTAAGGCTTGAAAATTACAGTATCACT